AAAAAAAGTGTGTACAGAGAAGCCACGCCCAAAAGCCATATCAAAGAACACATCCACCCTCAAGACATTGCGCCCGCCAATCCAACGACATCCCCAACAACGCCGACCCCCCCCCCAATCCCAAAACCCTCATCCCCAAACGTATCCCCAACGAAACCCTTGAAAGCCTGCAAGGACAACCAGATACACCTCCCTCGAAGACATTCCAGAAAACATCCCCCAAACAACCCTCCAGCTACCCTCGAAAACATATCGACAGACGTCCCGAAAGACATCCGCGAAGACAGCGGGGACACACTCAAAGACTCTTTCCGATACGCACCCAACAGCATTCCCAAAGACACGACCAACAACACCCACTAAAAGCAGCCCCAAACGCGCCACTGACATTTCCCAAAGACATTCGCGCGATATCTCGGAAGGAGGTTCCTGAAAGAAAGGGCGGGGCTGGCTTCAAGACCTCGTTGTCGGTCAGACTCGCACTCGTCTCGCTGTGCTATTTGGCCGCCATGCTTATGCGAAACGCAGCCCCTCCCGCAAAACCGCCAACAAGACAGGATATCCCTAGATTGTACACCTACGCGACAGCGCCTTGCCTGGCTTTCTTGACATTTGGCACCTCCCGCTTCAAAATTGCGGCCAGCGCAGTGTACGAGGCTGTGAAAGACCTGAAGGCATATGGTTGGATCGTGTGTCTACGAAACGCTTACACGAAGCTTACTGAGATCCTGACGCTTTTCGAGTTGGGAAGGGCCGCGCACGGACTCGAGTTGCTTCCCCTCCACGCAGTCATGCCTGTCGTTCCACCTAGCTTGCGCCAGCCGAAAAAATGCTTGCAAGGCGTCAGTCCATCCCCACAGCAACGCGTCTCATCATTCACCCTTTCATAAAGCATACGTCTCGTCACTAGTCAACCCTCAAACTGTCGCCTGCGCAACTGCCTACGTAAGACTTCACAACACCAGCCACAGCCAACATGCCTACGTGCGCCTAAGCAGTTGCGGCGCTGTCAGTCAAACGCCTACGCAGCAGCATGTAATCAACGTCGCCACGAAGATGTGGGCCATCCCTGAAAAAGCGTTCCCCACTTCACGCACCACCACTCAACATCCACTGCGTAACTAGACATGACCGGACACCTCAACAGGTTCCAACAATCTTGAACGCCTGCGGTAAGTTACATTTTCTAGCCGAGCCACCTTGCAGTGTTGAACGTCGATGCAGCTCAGTCGTCACATGCTAATCTTCAACGCCAGCGGTAAGTTATCTTTTCTGGTCGACGCAGCTCAGTTGTCAAATGGCGCGTCCAGGCACAAGAATGGCCTTAGACGAGCTTCAGAACACTGGAGCTCTTCACACCGTGCCGAGGGATGCAGATGGGACAATCAAGGCCATTTCCCCAACCTACAAATGTGTTTCTGGTGGCAGGCCCTACTTCGGCGCTCGAAGCGTCGGCACTCTTTCTTCACACGCCTCGCACTGCACATTGGTCACCGGAGTCTTCTCTTTGAACACCGCTCCTTCCACAGCAGTCAAGGCACAAGAATGGATTAGACGAGCTTCAGAACACTCGTGTCACACAGTGCTCGTATTTCCTCCCTGTTGCTGTAGGGAACGGTTTCGATGGTGTCCGGACCCTGTCAAAACCACTCGGCATCACAGCGGCGTGAGCCACTTTCCTTCTGACTCGCTTGAAACATCGCAGCCTGTAGGGAACGGTTTCGATGGTGTCCGGACCCTGTCAAAACCACTCGGCATCACAGCGGCGTGAGCCACTTTCCTTCTGACTCGCTTGAAACACCGCAGCCTTCCAAGGTTTCGCCCAGAAGTGCTCATCCAAAAGGCGACGGGGCATCTCAGAGGCTGAGACGACACACCCAGAGGCTCAAAGCAGAAACGCAGGACCAGCGCTTCAGGCAGACTGCTCCCACTCCTGCGCCGTGGCCTCGGGAATTGCAGGCCGCGCGGTTGGCAAGGCATGTCAGGCATGTCTGCTGCGCTAGCGACTTCACTCGGTTGCTTTCTGCTCCTGTTCTAAAAGTTTAACTTTTGGTGGTTTAATGGACAACCCATTAGTTGGCAAAAGTTAAAGTCCTAACATTAGAGCAAAATGCACCTCTGTTCATTAAGCCGCGCCAATGCAGCAATGGTCACCACCGAAATCACTCATGGCATGCTCATCATGCACGCGGCGCAGTTCCAGTGGCGCACCTCCTGATTTTGGCCGCGCTCGGTCCCTTGGAAACAGCAAGCTGCGCTTGCCCTAAGCTTGACAGGTAGTCTCATAAAGGTTGACACGGCTTCAGACTGGCCTGGTTGCGCAGAGCTGCTGTGCACAGGGCTCAAGGCCGTCGCCTCCCGCCCTATCCTTAGCACCAGGCTGGCAGCACTGCCAACCGCACCAAGGAAGGTCAGTAGCGCAACGCCGTCCACCGCAACCATCCCAAGTCCGCATGGCGTGCTCGGCGTACTCGCGCTCGTGCACCGCTTTGGCACTTGGAAGAAAACCAAAACTGAAAGCTGGAATACGTGTAACGAAGCGCGCTGTTTCTTGCAAACAGCAAGCTGCACTTGCACCAAACTTTGCTGCTCCTTTCAGGAAGATTGCCATGGCTTCAAACTGATATGGCTGCTGCACAGAGCATGGGACTGTCAGCCACACAGCTGGCTGGGACCTGGTCAAAGCAAAGTGTCAAGTTGCGCCCCGCCAGGGTTGGACTTTGGCTTCTCTCTTGAGAAAAACGCAAAGTCCACCCCTCAAAGAGGGCTTTACATCCAAACTCATGCAACTGATTCCAATGCTCCCATGCCACCCAGCGGCCCTGGGAGAGCGCACACTCCAGCTCAATGAGCATTCGCCACTACTTCGGCACCATGCGTGCGCCACCACTTGCCGAACCAGGACCGAAAGCCGGAGTACGCTTTCGCGCACATCCCTTGCAAACAGGGACGAAGCTGCGCTTGCCCCTTTTCAGCTTGACGCCGAGTGTCAGCAAGATTGACACGCCTTCAGACTGACATAGTTGCGCAGAACGCTGGCCCACCTGGCTCGCCATCTGGTCCGTTCGAGGTCTCCGGACCCCTCATGCAGTTTTGACGAAACGCTGCCATTCAAAATGTAGGCCTTTGGTACGTCTTTATCACGTTGCGCCCAAGTTGTCGCCCAAAAGCTTCACGCGAGCCCTTCCGGAGACTTGGCTGGAAGCCAAAGTCTTCACACCCAACCCCTGCGCCCATGCTGTGACCCTGCCTCGGCAGCTGCGGCTCAAGCTCACCAAGCGTGACTAGACATGTTCGGCCGACTGCAAGCCGTTGCTCCAAATGCTCGGCTCACTTTTCGAGGCTCCCTTTTTGGGGGAGACCAAAGGGAAACCTGCATTTTTTCGTGGAGATCCCTTCTTTTGAGACAACCCCCTATGCTGAGCACGCTTCTTGCACTGGGGCTCAACCACCGAGGGTGTTTGCAGCTCCAGCAGCGCGCACTTCGTGGACCAGCTGGCATGTCACCTAGCACAAAGCCGCAGCATGTCTTTGGCAGTCACCTACAAGGCATCCTTTGCATTGGCAGAAGGCGACAACATGCTAGTGGAGCTAGTGGCAGAGAGAAGAAGGCAACTTTCAAAGTGCGGGAAACTTCTGAGTGTAGACCCCTGCGATTTGCAACAAGTCCAGCGGTTTAGCTACAATCTGGGCAGAAACACGTACGAACTCCGACGTGTCCAGTCGAAGTCAACACACCTCGCAGTACTTGCCAATGCGCCAGTGATCCCCATGGGCTGCAACGGCTCGTCATGGCAGGTATGGGCACAGTGCGTAGCATGGCACAACTTACTTGGAAGACGAATAAGACCGAAAGCCGGAGTCAACCAAGACTGAAAGCAGAAGTACATGTTGGGCCGCTGGTTGTGCAACCAGCAAGCTGCACTTGCCCCAAGCTTCACGGCTAGTTGCAGCAATTTTGGCATGGCTTCAGACTGACATAGCTGCAGCGCAGAGCTCGGGCTGACAGACACATGTCTTGCTGGGATCTTTTCAGTCAAGGCTTCGGTCCGAATATCAGTTGATCGGCCTAAGGAATACAAATCTTGAGCGCCAGGTGTCTCACCACCGGGATAGCTCGAAGCTGTAGCTGATGTCAGTCCACGTGTTGCTTCTTTGCGTTAGTTTCTACACCGAGGCTCTCCCCACGTGAAAACGTCAGCTCTGCTTTTTGGAGGCGCCAAATATGTATCTCCCGTTGACATAGATTTGAAGTTGGCTGGAAGGGTTCGCGCCAGCACTTTTGCTTTACTTGCAGCTTGTAGAGATGTTGACTCGGATATGCGGTTGAAATTGGACTTTGGCGTTGGTTGTAAAATGCAGGTTCTTCGTGAGCCAAGGGTGAATGAGAACAGTCTCGCAACCCAGCCCCCTGGCAGCAACGGCGGCTCGTCATTGCAGGCATGGGCACAGTGCAAAGAGCTCTGGCACAACTTGCTTGAAAGGGCGCACGCCAGCACGTTTGCCTGACTTACGCTTTGTAGAAATTCTTTGGAATTGGGCTTTGGCGCTGGTTTTTCAGATGCTTGTTGCCCTCAGCCAAAAGTCAGGTACTGAAGGGTGGATGGGGAACATGCTCGCAACCCGTGGCGCCCCGTGGCAACGGCGGATCGTCATGGCATGGGCACTCCGGCACAACCTTCTTGGAAGCCTAAGACCGAAAGCCGAAGTACGTGCTTGGCTTCACGGCCCTTCACAAGCTGCACTTGCCCCAAACGCAGAGATCGGGCCAGGCAAATGGCTCGGCTCTTGGATATGGACAAAAGGGCTTCCAATCTAACATCATGCCACGGATACGGCGCCCATCGCCCCCAGCTCCTGCCCGGACCGAAATCATTCCACACGCGAACTCTACAATGAAGCTCCTGCAAAACGGCTTCGACAGACTGGAAGTTGCCCTTGCCCCAAGCTCTGCTCGCTTCACACAAATTGGCAAGGAGTCTATCTGACATGGCACAGAAATGGTTCTGCCAACAGTCTTGACCAACATCCTGAGTGCGCACGGCAGACTTGGGGACGCTGCGTGGCACTATACTGAACATGCTCGGCACGTTGGCCCCAAGAAACTGCAAGCCGCGTTTGCCCAAAGCTTCACAGCTAGGTTCCTACACACTGGCTTAAAGCTTGAGACAAGCTGGGGCTTGGGCAGCGTGGGGGTGCAGAGCAGCCACCGGTCGCTAGGCATGTTCTGCATCGATTTGGCTCCGAACGACTGGAGGATGCACTTGCCCCAGGCTGACCACGCGCAACTCACTCGTTGACCTCCGCCTGAATTCAGCGCGGATCAGCGCGACAGCATGGACAGTAGCACAGTCGTCTGGGCCTGCCGCGTGCCTTTGATTGGCGATGGACATTTCAGCAGCGGTATGGTCGTTCAATATGGCTGTTTACATATGTCTTGTCTTTGCTTTCTACAGAGATAACGTAGCTCCGCGCAGCGGCAGTTGTCTTGCAATTACGCCCATTCTTAGCTTGATGCCGTGCTATCGCGCCCCCAAGCACTTTGCAATGAGATGATGCGCATGAGGCGCGTAAAATGGGAAGGCCGAACATGGCTCGTTCGGCCTCGGAGTTCCCCCGATTTCCGGATGCGCGGATGTGATGTGGACGCAACTTTGCAGCGCTAAGCTGTGCTCCGAATGGTGGAGCGTTTTTGGATAAAGAAACATGAGAAAGCGGTGGCTCAGGACATGCTGCGAGCCTGCTAGCACAGAGCCTGAAACGGACCTTTTGGGGCCCGAAAAACGCGGCCATCTCGGTCCAGTAGCTTGGCGTCACGGTGTGCGTCACGGATCAGCAACGCACATGTTGCAAACAGGACCTAAAGCATCTTTTGGATTGAACAAGGCAAACCAGGCGTAGCACTCTAGCGCAACTACTTGGAAGCCAACCTAAACCGAAAGCATGGCGCTCTTGAGCACCTCACGCGATGCCAGCTGAGAGCTGATGGCTCCGGCTCGAGCGACAGCAACGAAACATTCAGACTGTTCATCGACTATTCGCTGCTTGGGACCATTCATGCCGCTCTTGAGCAACTACTTGGAAGATGCCCATGGGTGATTGCCCCTTGCAAAACTTGCAAGCTGCCCTTGCCTAAACGCTTCACGGCTCGCTTCGGGCAAATGGGCACGGCTGCAATCTGACATGGCGGTTGCGCAGGGCTGACAGCTGTCAGTTGCGATCTGGTAAAGCATTCATGGCAGGCTCATCACGGCAAGCTTTGGCGCAGTGCGCTTTGGCACACTAGCGACGTCACGTTCATGGCAGGCTCGTCATGGCAGGCTTCAGCGTATAGCGCACTGGCACAACTACTTGGAATATCCTGAGAGAAAGCCGGAGCACTTGTTGTTCAGCAGTTCGCCTCTTGGAATCAGCAAGCTGCACTTGCCGCCACGCTTCACGGCTCGCTTTGCATGGCTGCAATCTGACATGGCAGCTGCGCAGGGCTACACAGCTAGTTGCGATCTAGTCAAGCATTCACGGCAGGCTTGGGCGCAGTGCACTCTGGCACACTAATGTCGTCGCATTCTTGGCAGGCTCGCCGTGGCAGGCTTCAGTGCAAAACACGCTGGCGCAGTACTACTTGGAATATCCAGACAGAAAGCCAGAGCGCGTGTGGGGCAGCTGTCACTTGGAATACCAAGCCAGAAAGCTGGAGCACGTGTTGTGCAGCAGTTCGCCTCTTGGAATCAGCAAGCTGCACTTGCCGCCACTCTTCACGCCATGGCTGAATCTGACACGGCGGCTGCGCAGAGTGGCGGTCTGCTACAGAACAAGCTGGATCTGCTCAAAACAAGGGTCTTCACATCCAACATCGCAATTTTAAAAGCCCCAGCAGCAACAGCTGGCGCGTGTGCCCCGCCAGTGCCGGATCCCGCGGCACCTACACCCCCCAGCTCTTGCGAACGATTTGCAGCCGCACGGCTGCTCCCAACCACCTGCAGCTGACACATCCCTTTTGAACGTAGACAGCTTCCAAAAAGTATTTGCTAGGACATAACTAAATTGACTCATGATTGCAGCAATGAACTCGTCTCTTTGTTCGTGCTTATCGGCTAGTGTCACGAGTATATGTTTTGGGCCTGTCATTGGGGACTGATAGCCGCAAGCCACGCAAGACGGGCAAGCAGGCGTCACATGCTGACAAGCCCTTAGCCCTTGAGACCTGACACGCATGTCAGCTATGATCGACTGATCCTCATCAAGCCTACGCAGCCAATCACTGTGAGTGAAGCTGTCGATTGCAAGCTTTTCGCAGGCTTCAGTGCAAAGCACGCTGGCGCAGTACTACTTGGAATATCCAGACAGAAAGCCAGAGCACGTGTGGGGCAGCTGTCACTTGGAATACCAAGCCAGAAAGCTGGAGCACGTGTTGTGCAGCAGTTCGCCTCTTGGAATCAGCAAGCTGCACTTGCCGCCACGCTTCACGGCTCGCTTCGGTCCAATAGGCATGGCTGCAATCTGACATGGCAGCTGTGCAGGGCTACACAGCTAGTTGCGATCTGGTCAAGCATTCACGGAAGGCTTGGGCGCAGTGCACTCTGGCACACTAATGTCGTCGCATTCATGGCAGGCTCGCCGTGGCAGGCTTCAGTGCAAAACACGCTGGCGCAGTACTACTTGGAATATCCAGACAGAAAGCCAGAGCACGTGTGGGGCAGCTGTCACCTGGAATACCAAGCCAGAAAGCTGGAGCACGTGTTGTGCAGCAGTTCGCCTCTTGGAATCAGCAAGCTGCACTTGCCGCCACTCTTCACGCCATGGCTGAATCTGACACGGCGGCTGCGCAGAGTGGCGCTGCTACAGAACCAGCTGGATCTGCTCAAAACAAGGATCTTCACATCCAACATCGCAATTTTAAAACCCCCAGCAGCAACAGCTGGCGCGTGTGCCCCGCCAGTGCCGGATCCCGCGGCACCTACACCCAGCTCTTGTGAACGATTTGCAGCCGCACGGCTGCTCCCAACCACCTGCAGCTGGCACATCCCTTTTGAACGTAGACAGCTTCCAAAAAGTATTTGCTAGGACATAACTAAATTGACTCATGATTGCAGCAATGAACTCGTCTCTTTGTTCGTGCTTCTCGGCTAGTGTCACGAGAATATGTTTTGGGCCTCTCATTGGGGGAGCAGCAACAAAAAGAACATAGCTCAACTCAAAGCGACTGATAGCCGCAAGCCACGCAAGACGGGCAAGCAGGCGTCGCACGCTGACAAGCCCTTAGCCCTTGAGACCTGACACGCATGTCGGCTATGATCGACTCATCCCCATCAAGCCTACGCAGCCAAGCACTATGAGTGAAGCCGTCCATTGCAGGCTTTCCACAGGCTTCAGTGCAGAACACTCTGGCACAACTACTTGGAATACCCAGCCAGAAACCTGGAGCACGTGGGGGGCAGCAGTTCACCTGTTGGAGCCAGCAAGCTGCACTTGAGCTTCACGCTTCGAGTAAGGGCAAATTGGGCATGGCTTCCATGTGACCTGGCCGTTGCGCGGTCAGCCACACAAGCTGGATCTGGTCATCCAGCGTCATGCGGACAGAGCCCCCACCCATCGCTCCCAGCGCGCAAGCTTCGCCCGCAGCTCAAGCTGGCCGAACCTCACCAGACGATGTTGGCACGGCAATGCTGATGGCTGCAACTCATTTGCCCGCCAGGTCTGTTGCTTTTCAAGACTTGGTCGCGCTCTTAGCAAGCGCTTTCCAAGATCGCTCAGAAGTGCCAGTTGTCAAGGGTGATTCCATGCAGAATCGCTGGCACCACTTGCTTTCAATTCACTGCGTGATCACGATCGCCCTGCCTGAGTAAATCTGTAAAAGTCATTGGTGACAAGCTGCACTTAAGCTTCACGGTTCGAGTAAGGGCAACTTGGGCATGGAAGCCCTGGTCATGCAGCGTCATGCTCCCAGCGCGCAAGCTTCGCCTGCAGCTCAAGCTGGCCGAACCTCACCAGACGATGTTGGCCCGGCAATGCTGATGGCTGCAACTCAAGCGACGTCAGCAATGCAGGATTCACGCTGCTCGCGGACTATTCGCCCGGCAGGTTTGTTGCTTTTCAAGACTTGGTCGTGTTCTTAGCAAGGGCTTTCCAAGATCACTCAGAAGTGACATTTGTCAAGAAGTGATTCGATGCAGAATCGCTGGCACCACTTGTGTTCACTTCACGGCATGATCATGATCGCCCTGCCTGAATAAATCTGCAAAAGTCATTGGTGAGGGGAACTCATGGCACAAGTAGCTAATAGCGAGCGTCCTGCAGAGAGAGACGGACTGCCAAGCATTGCTGGACAAATACTAGGCTTGCCGCCACTATGACAGACTCGGCTGGGTTCACGCTGGGTAGGCGCGCCTCCAACAAGGGCTTGGGCTTCTGTGCATTGCTGGCGTATTGTCACGCCGAGCTTCAGCAACGGTTCGGACGGGATGCCGCTATCCTGGCATTGCTTGAGGCAAAGCGGCATCAGAAACACAGAGCATGGTATGTTTCCCAGCAAGTTTGCAACCTAAACGACAAAGTTGCCAAGCCTTCTTTCAAGAAAGGTCAACAACTTGCCTACCACAGCAACAGATGACCATTGAATTAAACCCTTATGGCAAAAAACCTTGTAGGCCGCTGGAATGCTGCGAAAACAAATTGCCCTCTCCCACCATGAAAATAGCAAATCTCAACGCCGGACCAATGCCTCATTCCAGTCGCACAACTCTGCTTTTCCCTTCGTGCGTGACGGCGTTTGTTTCGTCTTCCCATCCCACCAAGCGGACTCAGCGCCGATCCTCAGTTGGGTCGTTTCGCCGAGGCATGCGAAAGAGAAAGCAGATCGGGACCTTGAGGTACGCGCGGAACAAATGCGACATCGTAGCTTGTTAGCATGCCATGGCTGTTACGCATGTGTTGGCTTTACAAAGAAAAGGGAAATCAAGTACAACCATTATGCTGGAACAGCGCGCTTACGTGACGACGGTTCTTTTCAAGCGTGTTAGCCGGAATACATTTTGGTAGGTCCAGCTCAAAACAACAATTCTTCTGTTTGAGTGTAATATACAACGTTCACAAGGAGGCAGAGGCTACTTCAGAAACATAGCCAGGGCTTTCGCGCGCCATCTTGCGCGCTGCCTTAAGGATGTCTTAGCCGTGACATACGCGCCGAATGCTGACACTGTCTGCGGGGTTTTGTTGGCTTCTGTGAACTACGTGACTACAAGCTACAGGATCTTCATCGCAGCTTGCTGCAAAGGAAACAAACTGTGTCTAATCTGTTCGA